CAGGGGGAGAGGAGACACCAAGTGCTTGCTCTTAATTCATGGGAGCCAGGTGGCTCACCTTGGGGCCAGGGAAGACAGGTGCAGGGCAGGGGTGGGCCAGCTCTGTGTGAGGGGTGAAGGGGATGGGCCCTGGTAATCCAATATCCTCTTGGAGCCACTCAGCGCTCCAATCCAAATCCATCACTGCAAATGAACCAGGTGACAGGATTAAATATCCCCTAATTGCAGTCCCCCGGGAGGGGCTGTGCCAGCTGTCTCTTCCACATGCCTAGCCCAGCAGATGGGAGATCAGATACCGAGGGGTCACTTTTGAGAGCCCAGAAGGCAGCCTGGGTCCCGGCCACCTGGGCCAAGTGGAAGGAGGAACAGAGGGCACACTGGGGTGCTCTAATGGGTCTGAAAAACAGAATACTGAGTACCGTCTGGGCCCTAGGCTTCTTTGTAGTAAGGTCTCCACTACTCGCTGCTGCCACTTCCTTGTCCTCCTCATTCACCAGGACAGGATTTGAGCTTGTCCTCTGAGACTCACTGCTAGCAATAGCTCTCTGTTACTGAAAACCAGAAAACCCTAGGGGTATGTAGAAGTCTGCCCACGCTAGGTCCTACCTGGAGGCCAGCCTGCTCCTCACCGAACCCTAAGAGGCAAGGGTATCTTGTCCTTCCTCCCAGTACTCTCAGGAAAGACTCTCTACAGGTTTGCTGGGTTGTGTATTCTGGTAATCGGGGCCCCAGTGAAAGGGGGGTTCTCCAAATCCACTGAGGACCAAGCAAGAAGAAATGGAACTTACGTTTAGGCTCAAGACATGGACTTGAGTGCGAAGTCAAAGCTCCTGGGCTGCGGAAGCTGTCTGGAGCCTCTCCGTTGGCTGGACTGAGAAAGTCCGTAGCAGAGGCGAGGTGGCTCCTGGCAGGCCCCCAGCCCTTCTCTTCGAAGACCTTTCCATTCGAGAAGCTCTGCTGCTGTCTCACCTCAAGGCTAGTCTCCCCCAAATCAGCTCCCATAAAAGGGTGCTGGGTAGTTAGTCTGTGGAAATAAGAGGCATTTTCGTTTAGCTGAAATCATGATATTGCAAAATCAGCAGGAGCAGGTACAAGCCAGGAATAGCTCTCCATCCAGGGAAGGCGAGACCACAAGGCAAAACGAAGGTTTGCATGTCAAACTTCACTGAGGCTTGGGCGAAAGGCAGAAATAGGCATTGAAAGGGCCACTCAGGGCCCACGGTGAGAGGGCTGCCTGAGGCTCTGGCGACCTTTGAAGCAACATGATTGTTGAGAATGACAAGACCTCAGCAGAAGGGCCGGGACTCAGGTCCATGCTCCTGGGTGAAGCCAGAGATCTCCTGGCTCATCAGCCCCAGCACTTAGGAGAGGGTCCGATGCCTGGTCCAGCCCTAATAGATCATCTCATCTCTCCTTTTTTTTTCGTGTATTTGTTCATTCATTAACTCAACAAATGCACTTTTTTAAAAAAAA